GTAGACTATCTCGGGTTATTTAATGAGACTCATGAAATGATATAGCTGAGGAAATATAGGCTTTATGTCAATCTTAGATGCTTCCTCATCAGTAAACTACTCACTGTTGAATGGAAGAAAAAAAATACTGCCAATCCAACTAGAGCTTTACAAAATGATGGACGCGCCATTCTTGCGGGTTTTAGGAAAATTGCAGCCCAGAAAAAATGCCAAGAGTTAATGGTCTGTCAGTTTTGCTGCACAGTTGTATCTCATAACTCAGTAATCAAGCAATCTACCTGACTTAGTGATATTTCGCAGACAGCATCATATGTTTTAATTATCAGGGGCCCACTTGTTGCATCTTGATGAGATTTACTTTGTTGCAGCATTTGATTTTTGACAGTTGACCCAGCTACCTGGCTTATGGGAAATTGAGACGTGTTTCTCACTTGTTACATGATAGATGTTGAACATATTGCAGGTCTTTACCTACTAATTTACCCACTGATTTTGAAAGTCGAAATCTAGCACAATGTTTGGACCAATCTTGTCAAATTTGTAAGTTTGTTGAGGGGATGTAGAGTTTGTAGTGAAGTTTGTAGTTTGTAGTATGTACTGAATGTAGGGCTCCTACCAATAATTGAAACTCCATAGACTGCAATGTTAACATATGAGGAGATTGCTATATAAAAATGAAAACAAAGTTGCAAATATGGTTCAAAAATGGGAAATCAACATGCCAGTGATCAACCACATGAAAAAACTAACATGTTGGTCAGCTCAAACAAGACACACCTACTGTATTTGGATTGCACCTAGAGAAATCACTGGAAAAACATCCAAATACACACAGAATAAACTCACAGGTGCACAGCCGCTAAGTAATAAACAAATGACCACATGTTAGTCTCACTTTTGACCCAGATGCACGCTCTCAAAAAGGGCGCACCTGAGCAAAAATATTTTAAAAATGTTATTGGTTCTGCAAGACATTTAAATTGAACGGTGATTGGTTGATTAGTGGCATGGGACCTGTACTCCAGCTAAACAGAGAACTTATTGTCGCCCCAAGAGGTGTCAATGTCCATATCTGCTATCATCCCATATCTGTTATCATCCCATATCTGTTATCATCCCATATCTGCTACAATCAAATATCCCATTTCTGCTACAATCAAATATCCCATTTCTGCTACAATCCCGTATCCCATATCTGCTATCATCCCATATCTGCTACAATCCCATATATGCTACAATCCCATATTTGCTATCATCCCATATCTGCTACAATCCCATATCTGCTATCATCCCATATCTGCTATCATCCCATATCTGCTATCATCCCATGTCCCATATCTGCTATCATCCCATATCTGCTACAACCACACATCTGCTATCATCCCATATCCCATATCTGCTACAATCCCATATCCCATATCTGCTATCCTATCATCCCATATTCCATATCTGCTATCATCCCATATTCCATATCTGCTATCATCCCATATCCCATATCTGCTATCGTCCCATATTCCATATCTGCTATCATCCCAAATCCCATAATTGCTATAATCCCATATCCCATATCTGCTATCATCCCATACCCAATAAATGCTATCATCCCATATCTCATATCTGCTTGACGATATTAACTTCAAACTATAAGCTATCAGTTTCATTTGATGAAAATGCTAACTAATTGTATGCACACAAACTCAGTGTTCAGGGTCTGGAGTAAAGACTACTAGTATACCGTGATTTCTACTTTTATTGTTGTAAGTATTTGTATTTGTATTTATTTATTTACTTGTACAGGTTGTACAAAGAATTTAAAACATACGACAAGTAAGAGAGAGAGAGAGTACATTGCGATACAATAAATATTAAAAAAAATAATTTAAATAAAATGAGCAACTGATCCATGGCTGGGGTAACAGAAGATAGCAATCGTAATGCTAGACAAGTCTGTTCCCCTGTATACAATTATTTCAATGAGAAAAAATACAAGGGCGTAGTATTCACCTAACACAATTGATTATTACAAAAAATGTTACAAAGACCAGTTATAACAGAAAATAAATCATTTAACCAATCAAGCAATTAACCAGCCAACCGATTAACTAACCAATCAACCAACCAACCAACCAACTAATTAACTAGTCAACCAATTATCAAATCAATCAACCAATTAACCATCCAACCAATCAATCAATTACCCAACTAAGTAACCAACCACCCAACCAATTAATCAACTAATTAAGCAGCTAATCAACCAACCATTTAATCAATCAATCAATCAACCAATCAATTACCCAATATGCCAATCAACCAACCGACTAAAAAACAAATTGATCAATCAATCACTAACCAATTAATCAATCATTTAACCAACCAACAATTGCAAACTTATAATACATTTTGAGTTCATTTTTGAACTTTGCACGGCTGTTAATGAGTTTCAAATGACTGGGTAGAGCATTCCATAATTTTGAACTATTATAATCAATTGAATATTGACCTTTATTTGTTCTCTTTTTAGGAAGGGAAAAGTCAGAATTTGTTACACATGGAGTGGTATAGTTGTGGGAATGAAACGAAAAATAGTCTAAAAGATTACGAGGGAATTTTTGATGCCGAAGGTCATGAATAAAAGTGCATAGCTGATATTTGAATAAATCATAAATATTAAGAATTCCTAAAGAATAGAACAGAGGTTTGCTGTGAGTATATTGGTCTTTGAATAGAATAATGCGTGTTAATATCTTCTGTTGTTTATAAATTGGAGTAATTGTTGAGGGAAATGTATTTCCCCAGACTTCAAGGCCATATGAGAGATGCGGACGAATAAGGGCATTATACAACATAATGAGCACACATTTTGGGAGATAGTGACGAAGCTTGCTGATTAATCCGATGATAGGGGATATTTTGTTAACAACATGCTTAACATGTGGTTTCCAAGTGAGGTATCTATCCAGAACAACGCCAAGATACGTTGTTTCATCAACTTTGTTTAGAATGGTATCATTCATATGGATAGGCTGATTGTCATGATTTACTCTTTTATGTGACGAGGAAAAGAACATGTAACTAGTTTTGTTTGAGTTGACAGATAATTTGTTATGGAATGGAATGTGATGTTAGTGTGTGAAACAAGTTAGAGTCGTCAGCAATTAATTTAAATTGGAAGAAAGATGAGGATTTAGTAATATCATTTATATATAAAAGAAAAAGTATAGGACCTAAGACAGATCCTTGAGGAACTCCATAATTGATAGGTAGGGTCGAGGAATGATAACCATCTACATGGACATATTGTCAACGATTAGATAGATAATCTTTAAACCAATTTAGAGGAGTACCCTGGATGCCATAATTGAGTAACTTGGATAGTAAGATTTCATGATTGATTGTATCAAAGGCTTTAGTTAGATCGAGATATACACCAACAACTATGTTGCCGTCGTCAATTGTTCTAACAAGGTCAAAGATTATGTCAATTAGTGCAAGCTTGGTAATATATTTTTTTCGGAAGCCATACTGATATTTGTTAATGATTTTATGTTTGTCAAGAAATAAAATTAATTGCTTGTTAATAGTTTTTTCAATAATTTTGCTGATGATTGGCAATATAAAAATTGGTATATAGTTACTTACTAAATAGGGAGAACCTTTCTTGTAAATTGGTGAAACAGTAGCGAGTTTAAGTTGGTCTGGAAAGATACATGCAGTGAGAGAGAGATTGATAATGTGACATAATGGTTGTTTGATGTAGAGAGCAGCATCTTTTAGGAGGCGGGGAGAGAGGAGATCATGACCACTGGATTTATTTGGGTTCAAACTATTAAGCTCTAACTCTATATCATTTTCACAAACTGGGTGGAGGAAGAATGAATTTGGCTTGGGACAACTTGAATACTTCAAAGAATCATTGGTCTGATTAATCTTATTTGCAAGGTCTTTGCCAATATTAGCAAAAAAGGCATTAAGCTTGTCACTGATTTTCGTTGGGTCAGTAATTACCTCATTTGTCTCCGATTTTAATACCATGGGCTGCTTCTCACCTTTGCCAGTAACTTTTCCAGTAACATCATGTATAGTCTTCCAAAGTGTTGATAGATTATTTTTATGTTTGTTCACTTGCCCACAGAAATAATTCTTGCGTGCTTTACGGAGGATAGAAGTTAAAATATTTTTATAAAGTTTAAAATAGGAAAGTCGATTTGGGTCATAAGTTTGACAAATAGTTTGTGTTTGTTATTAATTGACTTAAGGATACCCCGGGTATCAAGTCAAAAACGTGGTACTATCAATTGTTAGCATTGTACGTCTTTCATTAAACAAATAACACACATGAATACATAATATGTACAAGTATACATTTAAAGTGAATGCAACAGATAACTACCTACTCTAGTAAGTTCGACGCAATTTTGCAGTTGCTGTGAAATGTTTATTTATACCAGAAGATTTTTCAATGTTACTGACCAAACATAAGCGTTTGTGCCAACATAAGATCTCCGAGAAAAAATGTGCGAGAGTACAAATGCCCAAACTCGAACTGTTATAGTTGTCTTACATGCCTATCGCCCGATAGACATATAGTTTACGAACCAAAACATTCACATACAACATGTAACGTCACCACCTTCGTCGAGTGTTTCCTGTATAATAACCGTCCGTGCGAGTGACAACGGCCGACACAAGCTTCAATGATTAGTAAATAAGCTAAAGCATATAGCCACGATATACGGGACAGAAAAGGTATACACAAGTAATTACATTTAATGAAAATTAATAAGAACACATTTTAATAAATATTTTTGTCGTTGTTGTTGAATAATATATTAACCAAACTAAATACGTTGATGAATGTTATTACTGAAAACTATGAAAATATCTTTCGGAAGGTCATTTCAGCCAGGGAAAACCAATATTGACATAGACATCAATTGAACATGTAGATATAAGGTGTAACATTAATTAAATTCTTTATTTCTATTTTAATATATTGATTGCTAATTAATTTTCATATCTTCTTTAAAATCTTCTCTAATTTGTTTCATGATGTCTTCCCCTTTATATAGAACCTCCAGCGCCGTATACGCCATGACCTTGGCGTTGGTCAATGTTGGTTCCTGGGCTTCAGGTGCACCTGTAACGAATATAAAATATGTAGCAATGTAGAGCGTGGGTTGCGTCAATATTTATTGGCGTCGTAATACGTATATGATTAGGTGTAGCATTTAAATCTCAGTTACCGGCAGCTTTCATGAATCCCTGCGAGTGATTAACACTATCAGTAGCCAGTCCATAAATTGGGTGAATACCTGGTACTTCATACGTCACATTTCCCATGTCGGTCGAAGCACCCGCATTTTCATCTGCTATATACTTAACCCCAAGTGATTCTCCGTGCGACTGAAATATTTTAGCCAGAGTCTTGTTTGAAATGGTGTTGTTGTACTGTGTATGGAAATTGTATTCTACCTTGAATGAGAAGCAAAACATAACAAATATACAAATGGCTGCCAAAATCTCGTTGACAAAAAACACAAAAGTTGTTCATTTTCTGTCTTTATCGCGCGTCCACTGACCCCCCTTGACTATTTAGTCGTGGCATTTGGAACGTGATGATGCGAGAGAATTACATACTATTTTAGGCCTGAAACAGGTCATGACAAACGTCGTTTCGATGAACTGCACTGCTCAGTATTGCACCATATCTGAATCGGGGTGTACACAAATCTATTATTTAGAATGGCATTGTGAAAGAATCATTTCAAATTTCATATAAATTTACAAATGTTGGGGAAAAAGACTCAACAGAGTTTTGCTGCCCGTGATGTTATATTACGTGACATGTTTAAAACACATATTTGTCTATTTCACATATTTGTCAATTTGATTCTATGCTACATTTGTGTTTGTAATCTATAGGCAGTGATATGTTATGTCATGTGACCTAATACATTGTTCAATTTTACATTTTCAAGTTAAAACCTAGTATATATATGAAAATCAATTGGCCGGTTAGCGGATAATAAAATTGGAGATGAATCACCTTGTCCGAAAGAAACTCAACGACCGACCAGTGCGAATGTGTTGTTATGCTATGGTCATTTGCCTGTATACTTACAATTGTCAAATGTCATGCAATTGATTTAACAAAAGCTATATACATTACATCCTGTTGACATTGCAGCCCCCTCAGCACATGCTTTGGCCTTCTCTCGTAATATTCGCAGCTCTGATGCCATTGGCGCTCGAAGACGGTATTCAACTTTTGACCTCTCTGTTATGATGCTTGGTTTGACATAACCGCATCTAATCACGCCTTTGAGAAATAAACATATTTGGCTAAACATGCATGTATTCAGTGTATAATTCGTAGACTATATGATAAAATAGTGGTCTAACACATTGAAATACACAAATTTTGACCACATTTATGAAAATAAACACAGGATGGTCTAATAGAGTCTACTCTCAAATTACCAACGAGTTTATGTTGAGAGAGCCACATGATTTGATTTCGCTTCTCATATAGTATTCATTTCCCTTAACCTATGTAACCATGGTAATTTGGAATTGTGTACGAGATTACAGAAGGAAAAGAGCTATTGTTTGAGGGCAAACAAGTGGCTTTTTCGTCTTCACAGAGCCTTAGACGGCCATTTGCAAATGAGGTTGAATTTATATTCTAAATGTGCTCCAAAGGAGTTACATATTTAGTTACACATGATTCTAAAAGTGTATTAGCTTATAGTCGAACTGAATCAATGTTTCAATATTAAATGATGTCGTATCACCATTTTCCACGTATCATGCTCCATATACTCCTAATAAAGAACACAAACTAGTATACTTCTCACCGTGAGTTCTCCATGTTGGTTTCATCTGTTGTCTCATGACAGCGGCATCCAGAGCGTTGATGCCTTGCCAGGGTGCATAGGCTGCGTGGGCAGCTTTACCGATAAAATCGACGTCAAATCTAAAAATCATAGTTGATGTCAATCATCCAGCGATATAATGTATACTGTACTCTTATTTATGAAGATACCATCACAAACACATCTGGTCGAACAACGATTCAAGTTTCTCAAATGTTTATGTTATGCAATGTGCCATAATTTTGCGGTATTTTACAGGCTATTTTCTGTCTACCATATTAGGAAATGTGAATTCCAAATTGGGAATGATTACGTGCGTAAGCGGCCCCTAATAATAAAAACAAACATGGCTGCCACCAGGGTTTGGCCGGACTCCACACAAATAAGTTTGCTGATTATACAGTACACTTTAGCATCCACTTCCGCTGCGCGTCGGTCGATACTTCCGCTGTACTGTCATCGTGCATACATTGAGGTATCCTCGTAATAACCTCATATTATTAATCTAAATATCTATTTTAGGGATTACTTTGAATGATCAAGCAGTATGTCAATTTCACAAGTGCTACTATACTATATCCTTTATACAGTCACAATCTCTAGCACATCCTGATGCCCTATTACCATCGTTTTGCACACAACACTCAATATATAAAGTGATATATATTTTAACTCAAATTTAGAGATACAGAGATACTGTTTTATTGTGTCAGAATTTGAACACTGTCAACACTGTACGCAGTGTATTTTTTGAAGTCCAATCTTAATAAAGGGAAAATCAAATGATTACGTTTCTACATATTTTGCCAACATACTAGGAAATAAAATGTTAATACAGAAAACATACTTACGACACTGCAGACAAAGCGTTGGAATACACGGTATTTTTTCTGTTCGCAGGATGAACCATCATAGCAATGTCAATGTCATTAAACACGCCAGCTTCTATCAGCTTAATTTTACCGCCACCAGCTTCTTCACCGGTGTTCCCAATATAGTCAACTGTCAATGAAGTGCCGTTCTCTGTTAAACACTAACTGAGACTCAACACCAAATAACGAGAAGAGCATATTGCATTATTCATAATTAACAGATGCTTATGACGCGGATTTGTACGACCACTTGAATGCATAATCAAAGAATGAACAGTATTGGTAAGATATTATATATTATTATACATCTGTCACCATAATGCCATAATATTTGCGGTATTGCACCGGGTATTTTCATCCTACCGTAATTTCGGCGTTCCAATTAAGTATTCCTTGGAGGAAAAGATGTGTAATAATAAGTTTATGACGAGGATACTGCAAAGTATGCACTCAGACATTACGCGATCGCTATCTTTCGCATATTTTCCTAATTTTCTGACCCAACTATTACTCCTGACTTTATGCTCAATGAGAAATCTTCACCTTGTATCACACACAAGATCGTTCTGGAGAAGAGGATCAATTTAAAAACCACTTTCTTTCTAAATGTTCGGTAAAAGTATTTGGTCAAGTGACTTGCTATTATGATATGCTGTACTTCTAATTTATACATATGCATCTTCATCTTCATATGCAATATAAGGCTCATGTATGAAGGAATCAAGCAAGCCACAGGGTCAGTCACAAAAAAATCAGCTCCCCTCAAGGCCAAAGATGGACAGACAATCTCCGATCGCTCCAAGCATATGGAAAGATGGGTGGAGCACTACCTAGAGCTCTACTTAACCGAAAATAAAGTATCTGAAGACCCATCAACAGTATTCCCGAGCTCCCAAGTATGAGTCACCTCGATGCCGAACCCACCATGGAAGAACTTGAAAAAGCTATCAATGCATTAGCCAGTGGTAAAGCACCAGGAAATGATGCCATTCCCCTAGAGGTAATAAAAAAGGTAAATCAGGCCTACTGCCACATCTTCATGGGCTACTCTGTTTGTGTTGGAAAGAAGGTGAAGTGCCCCAGGATATGAGGAACTCAAAGACAGTGACTCTATACAAGAACAAAGGTGACCGCTCTGACTGCAACAACTACCGTGGAATATCCCTCCTCAGCATCGTAGGCATGGTGTTCGCGCATGTTATCCTTACAAGACTGCAGGCCTTTGCAGAATCACAATGAATCACAATGTGGTTTTACATCAGGTCGCTCCACCATAGACATGATCTTCTCCAGGAAAAGTGCAGGGAAATGTGACAACCTCTAAACTTGGCCTTCGTTGACCTTACCAAGGCCTTCGACCTGGTAAGCCGCAGTGGCTTATTCAGTCTTCTCCAGCGCATAAGCTGCCCTCCAAAGCTTCTAAGCCTCATCAAGTCTTTCCATACATGCATGAAAGGCACTGTCAGCTTCAACGGGGATTCATCTGAACCATTCGACATTTGCAGCAGTGTTAAGCAAGGATGCTTGCTCGCCCCACACACTTCGGCATCTTCTTTCTCTCTCCTTCTGTACTATGCCTTCAACTCTTCATCTGATGGTGTCTACATTCACACCAGGCATGACGGCAAACTCTTCAACTTGGCTCGGCTCTGGGCTAAGTCCAAGATCACACGTGTTCTTTTCAGAAAAATGTTGTTTGCTGACGATGCTGCTCTAGCGAGTCACACCCATCTTCAACGACTTATGGACCACTTCTCTAAAGCCTGCAAAGAGTTCGCTCTCACAATCAGCATTAAGAAGACGGAAGTAATGGCACATGACCCTCCAATACCACCCTCCATCACAATCGATGACTCACAGTTGGCTGTGGTCGACAACTTCAGATACTTGGGCTCAAACATCTCTCAGAAACTGTCCCTTGATGCAGAGATAAATGCTCGCATTGGAAAAGCCACAGGAGTGATGTCCAAGCTGACAAAGAGAGTCTGGGAGAACAAAAACCTGACTCTTAGCACAAAGTTGAAAGTCTAGCACGCATGTGTTTTCAGCACCCTTCTATACAGTAATGAAACATGGGCAACTTACACAAGTCAGGAGACTAAACTAAACGCCTACCACATGAGGTGCCTACGTCGACTATTAGGGATCACCTGGGAGGACAAGATCACCAATCATGAAGCTCTCAGCAAGGCCAAGACAACATCAATCTTCGCCATGCTGAGTCAAAGACGACTGCGCTGGCTGGGTCATATTAGCCGTATGGACAAGGGACGTCTTCCAAAGGACTGTAAAGCTGTACGATCAACTAGAGGAAGGAGCACGCCCAGTTGGTCGGCCACGCCTGAGGTTCTCTGACGTCTGTAAAAGAGACCTCAAGGCTACTCATATAGACACACAGTCATGGGAGATTACAGCTGATGACCGCTCAGCATGGAGACAAGCAGTCAGCAAAGGCATCCAGGGCGCAGAGGAGAACAGACATGAAAGACAGCGACAGAAGCGACTGTGGAGAAAAGCATCTACCAGCTCACTCGACAACTCAGTTTTCATCTGCGGGGACTGTGACATGGACTGTCACTCAAGGATTGGGCTCTACAGCCACCACAGATGCTGCTCAAGTTCAACTACATCATGGCGCAACCCATTGTCTTCCTAGACGAACGGAGGCCGACTTCTAATTTATACATATCAGTATACACAATTCGAGAAAAATAGGTTATTTTTATTTTGCGCTATGGCTGGAAAAATAGCAGAACTTGAACAATGGGCTGTCAGAAAGCTATACTTGCTGCACACCTAATAATAATCAGGACACAAGCAAAAGATATATGGGCGGCACAAGCATTGTGTATATAGAAATCTTCAACTAATCCCGCCACTGTATATTACTAAACACGCACCTATACAATAAATTGGAGAAAAGATACTGCTACATTTTGCAACTGCCTTTACATAAAGATGCACAGGGAATCATATATACAATGGTGAAACACTAATTGGTTCAATGTTGATGTGTACTTGCACTAAGTGTAACAGTTCTAAATAATATGACTTAAATTAGGATTGCGACTTTTTTCTTTAAACTAGAAGTAAACAAAACAGTTCGTTTTGTCTATTATGATCTCATTGTGATTTATTCAAACTGTGGAAAATTAAATTAAATGATATTAATGAAAAGATCTTATAACGTGTACGTATATACCTTTCCCATTGGTTTCCCAGCTGCTTCCATGGCTGCCTTGATTCCCAATCCAGCACCAGCTCCACATTCCGCTATTAAATTATGACCACATGCATGTCCAATTTCAGGTAATGCATCATATTCACATATCACGCATACATTCAAACCATCTTCATTACCATAAGTAGCTCAGAATGCTGTGTTCAGGTGATAATTTCTTTCCACATTAAAGCCATGATCCTCCAAGAAGTCAGTTAACACTTCATGCGCATGGTGCTCTTTAAAACTGATTTCTGGATTTTTCCAAATGTCTTGACTCAAATTATTGAGGTCATCAGCAGATTTATTAATAGTTTTCGACGCTATTTGTAATAAGACCTCAAATGTTGACATGCTTACTTACAAACTGACTGTGATCTGTATGAAGACAAATAATGAATGATCTAAAGTTAGTGAGTTACATTATGATTATATTATAATACATTAGATAATAGATGTATATCGTTCTTCACGGTGTTGAAATATTGACGCAAAAATATAATAAATGCATTCATGTTGTGCCATGTTTAAATTCATAATAACAGAAGCAGAAATGTATTATCATTTATAAAAACAGTATAATTTTTATTCTGGGAAACAATGAAAAACTAATACTACAAAAGACCTGCTAACAATTTCACTACGACCCATGTCTATGTTTAGTTTATCATGAGAGTTGTATTTTTAATTAATCCAAAATTTGTATATAAATTAAATAAAACGTACAACCGAACAAATTGCCCTCGTTGAATGTTTTGCCCACATAAATTACCATATCAGTTCAGCCTGATGCAACCAAATACGCCTATTATTGATAGCGGATCCATTTTAAGAGGCAATTGGCTTAGCAAATTAAGTTTACTTTAGTAAAATTAGGTTAATTTATTTAATTTGCTGGAGGTGTAAATGTAGGTTTGTGGACACTCAAAGAATCCGTGGCAAAAGACGGTCATTATCAATTCAACAACGACCTACCATACTACCTTTTTAAAAAGGTTTCAATTGCCAACAAGTGCAAACAATATACACTGCGATATCGTCCTTTGTCACTAAATACTGATAGAGCCTAGATTTGCAAAAATTGTAATATTAATGTGAATGGGATTCTATTTATTGTATTCATAATTATCTACTCCTACAATGTGTCATATATCTTGTACCTTACCCTGAACCATACACTATTCTTATGACATACTGCTAACCAATAAAGAGAAGACCCGCCTTAAAAGGTATAGTACGACCTAATATGATCTGAACATTTCTGAAATGTGTCAAGTTCACTGATCCTAGCTAATAACCATTCCATTGAATGTCTCAAAGTTTAACTAAGTTATTATAAACAGTGAACCTAACTTGTATTACATTACATATGTTCTATAGCTGAACCTTTGTCCTAACCTGTTTATTGTGCTTTTGATTTCGCTCTTAGTGTGGCATCACTCCAATGTGTTAGCGCCATCAACGTAGGATGTGGTTTCAAAATATAAATATGAATCTTGGTATATTCATATTCATTTATATTTATAAACTCGAAAAGTTGATGGCCGTTAATCGCGATAATATTCCATAAACACTATTCTAACAGAATTTGTAGATAATTTGAAATATTGACATTGCTAACAAAGACAAAACATTGGTGAATACCTATTTTCAAATCTCTATTGATTTCTTGTAATTGTAACTATATTTTAATTTGGGTTTGACGGTTCTCAACTGTATTTTATTGTTTTATTGGTATTTAGGGAGGCTGTACAAAGTAATGACGTATAATTTAATAAACGTGTAATTAGTATAACATATATATTATACTATGAATTACTCTCGTCATTTATTTATCTTCACACAAAGAAAGCCAGATTTAGTTCATCTCTGATAAATTACTCTAATTTCTTAAAGAAATATAATTTGATATAATTTTTGAGATGTGAGTGCGTCTGCTTAAACCATGTGCTTTCTCGTGGTCGAGAGTTCGAATCTAATGCGATTTTATTGTAAGTGTTTTTTCAATTTGAAATGTAAATGTCGGATTTCATAATTTGGCAAGCCGTAAACATACCCACAAATATCTTGGCAGCGGCATTTTGCAACATATGTTAGATTTATAATTAACCGCGCACCGACGAATAACAATTCCATAATATGTAACAGTTGCTGATGCTTGTGTTTGTGAAACGAATAAGCCTACCTTTTAACTATAGTAAGCGAACCAATTCAAGGTGATAAATACATTCAATTACTTGTGAAATGTTGAATATCAGTCCGACTTCAGAATAAATTCTCTTACAGGTCTATCGTGACGATGTGTTGAGTGGCATATGCGAATATTACAGTGTGATGTAAATACGCTTATTTCAATTTTAAGAAATCTAATCTCCAATATGAAATATGATAAAACTGATTAGCATGGTTTCTTTTAGACCCATTATGTTTATTCAATATTTAAAATATGATAAAAATCTCAAATGAAATCCAGTGCTCGATCATTAATAAATTCAATAAAATCAAAAGAATAGTATAGGAAACTTCATTTAACAGTAACTGAAATGAAATGATGGAATGGAGTATTTCATCGGGCAATGTGTATTTTCACCTACATACAGATATGCTTTCTGTATGAGTAAATCTTACAATAAAATAACGACATTTTAAAATGAATTATTCCATGATGGTATTACAGATTCGAATTCTGCAATAAAATTCATTTCATTTGAATGAGTGAAATAGTTATACATATATTACGTAATTTGGTATCGAAATAACAAATACAGTATACAATCATATATCATTCGCCTCGAAATTATGATGAAACCAGCAAAATCTTTATCATGTGAAGAAATTAATTATTATTATTATTATACTAAGATATGCGAGGGAAATCATATTTTGTAACATTTAATGTTAATTGTATATAACATGAGAATGTACGTGTAAGACTCGATACGCCTACTTAGAGCTTTATAGTAATTTATCCTATCTCGATGACAACTAGACAGATCAAGAAATGTGTAAAGCTTCATACACAAGCATAGTTCACATATATATGTACCATAATATTGTTAGTACTGAAATGTCAAATTAATCTCATCCTTAAAGCTAGAAATCGTAATAATTTCATATTTAAGACCATATTTCGTTGCCATGCTTAAGAGCATGTCACCAACACTAGTTACTAGTTTTATGTACTAATGTTTTGCAAGTTTGTCATTTATTTAGCTTCCACAAAAGCATATGCATTAAGCATATTCGTAAGTTGGAGAATGGCGACACTTGTTGAGTATAGTATGTTCTTCATCTACTTGTTGTTCTTGCGGGATATTTAACGTAGGATTGCAGGCATATCCGCAGTCCACTACAATGTTTTGTTTTATATGAAACGTTTTCCCATCAGAAATAACGTAATGCTAGAGAATATTTTTGTATCAGGTAAAATGGTAGACCTCACCCACAGATCGCATAGGTAATTTAGAGTGAAACAAGTAATTGTCAGTCTAGTCATGTGGAGAGCGAGACCATATATATGCTTCACAGTTACAAGGCTTAGGTAGAGAGTTTAATGCCGACAAATGTTTAACATATAGATAGCAGTGTAGCAGATAGAGAAGTTAAAATGTCGCTGAACACCTCGGCAAATATGATGTTATTCATACATCTTCATATTTTTCATATCAGTTTCAAAATCTTGTTTGATCTGATTCATCACGTCTTGCCCTCCAAATAGAACGTCTAATGCTGTGTAGGCCAATGCATTAGCATTGATTAAAGTTGGTTCTTGAGCTTCAGCTGCACCTACATTGAAACAAATAGATGTTGTCATTCCCATGGTATCATCTTTCTATCCACAAAATCTAACAAAAAAAATCATCCTTATTTTCATGAATGCGTAACAATATCATTTTACCTGTAGCTTCAGTGAATCCCTGTGAGTGATTAACACTATCAGTAGCCAGTCCGTACATTGGATGAATACCTGGTACTTCGTATGTCACATTTCCCATGTCAGTTGATGCTGATGACATTTTTGATATTTCTTCTTCTGACGGGTATTTTAGTCCAAGGTTCTCCCCATTTGCACGAAATAGTTTGGTCAGGCTCTTGTTTGAGATAATATCCTTGTACAGCGTGTCAAATGTACACTCAACCTGAAGAAAATTAAACATGCATTTTGTTTGAACATCGCCCTTAATCTTATCCTTAGATATAGATCTTCCTTATCGCAAAAGTACTACACTATATATCAGTGAATGTAAGTTGTGTTCGGAATACGAATTTCACCAGAGCTATTAGTTTGATTGTCAAATACGTAGACTTACTATGATATTCAACAGCTCAATAGCACGAATCGATGGACATCCGTTTTTTCAATATTTAATATACAAATGGTAATCTCGAGGTGGTGTGTGCAGCATTGCGGGTGTCACATGTGGAGCAGGATATTTTCAAAATGCAACACACCTCCTGATTGTGTGGACATTTAGTCATTTTTCTCTCGGTTAAGATATATGTTTCTATGGCGTAATCTTAGTCATCCTCAAGCCTTTAAAACGTCTTATGCACATGCTAAGAATGCCAATGTGTAATCAAATGGTTACTTTCATACTAGCGAAATTAATGTGATCAAGATCAAACCTTGCAGCCTGTTGACTTGGCCGCCCCTTCTGCACAAGCTGCGGCTTTCTCTTTTAAAACATTCAATTCTTGGAGTGTCGGTGTTCGAAGGTTGTAAAGAACTTGTGACTTCTCAGGTATGATGTTAGGTTTAGCACCCCCATTAGAGATAACACCTGGATAACAAAATGGATTCCACGTTTCTGACTGCATTATACACCGATCAAATCTACAATAATGCAAAACAACTACAATGATGCATACCGTGAGTTCTCCATGACGGTGTTAATTGTTGTCTCATGACGGACATGTTCTGGTAGAACAAAACAGCGGCATCCAGGGCGTTGATGCCTTCCCAAGGTGCATAGGCTGCGTGGGCGGCTTTACCGATAAAATCGACTGTCATGCTGTAGTAAAATATGAAATATAGTGATTCAATTTCAAATCGACATAAAATTTAGATTCGAATTTAATGCAGCTGTAAATTTATAATAAAATCATCAATCAGTACCCAATACGAAATGTGTAACACGCACGTTTTAAATTGATATACAGTTACACATGAGTGATTTGGTTGCAAAATGCAATATAAACTCCACACTTACGTCACTCTGGCTAATGCTGGGAAGTAATGCATGTTGACCCGATTCACCGGATGGGCCATCATAGCAATGTCAATATCTTTAAACGCACCAGCCTCTATTAGCTCAATTTTACCGCCACCACCTTCTTCAGCTGGTGTCCCTAATACAGTCAACTGAATGACAAAAATACAATGCCACTTATTTTAAATAATTCTAAAACTCACAAAGACATGCGGATGATTGGATGGCCATCACATATAACAGAAACAGTTATTGACATACACGCCTGTTGTGTAATGTTAGTTATTGAAACAGTAAATTTGAATTTATATAATTGGCGAATCTCTGAAATATTCAAATTATATATTGAAATAAAAATATTTATGTGTTACCAATTCAGCTTAATCCATGCTGCGGGGAATTTACAGTAAACAGAGAAAGTTGGCATTAACAGTATAGCGCAATTTATTCTAAACAAACGAGAATAAGAAATCATATGGAAAACAACTTGCCTTTCCCACTGGTTTCCCAGCTGCTTCCATGGCTGCTTTGATTCCTAACCCAGCACCAGCTCCACATTCCGCTATTAAATTATGACCACATGCATGTCCAATTTCAGGTAATGCATCATATTCACATATCACGCATACATTCAAACCATCTTCATTACCATAAGTAGCTCGGAATGCGGTGTCCAGGTGATAATTTCTCTCCACATTAAAGCCGTGTCTTTCCAAGAAGTCAGTTAACACTTTGTGCGCATTATACTCTTGAAAATTGAGTTCTGGATTCTTCCAAATTGCTTGACTCAGATTATTGAGGTCAACAGAAGCCTTATCAATCATGTCAGACGCTGTCTGCTTTAATCTTTCCAAAGTTGACATTTTTGTTTATCTAAAGGTGTAGCAAAGTTTGACATGTATTTGGACATCGAAATAATGCATTCAAAAATGTACCTAGAATATGGTGGTAGGAGGAGTACATACTATCGTGACGACAGATTCACGTGCTTTGTACACACATATATATAGTAATTGTAAGCAGAATATGACAAATCTGGAGTTGCAAACCTCCAATTAGTGTTGGTC